CCCCAAAACCCCAAAACCCCAAAACCCCATGAGATAGAGATATCAGGATTATTATAGATGAAATATATAAGCAGATAGAATGAAATTAGTATAGTTATGTTTCTAAAATACTAAGATTCCTTTTAACTTTTAAATGTCTGAATAAATTAAATTAATTATATTGTTATGATGTAACAAGTTGAGAAAAAAAAGAAAAGAAAGATTTATGTGCGTAGATGCTGCTTTGGGTTCAACCTTTCTGATGGCGTTCATGGAATTGTAGTCTGGGATAATCTCTATGCTCTATTTGTGATAACAACCTCACTTAGCGCAGTATTTTACTACAATGAATAAAACAGGGCATCTCAAGCTTTCACAGATATATGCAGTGCTGCTTTATTGATTGTGAGAGCTGTAATTGGGATGATTACTTGCAGCAAAGGATTTCAGTATATTCACATGAGAAAATTTTTTATAACTCGAGTTGTATGGGATATAGCCCTATTAATAGTTAACTGCATTATGGTGGCTTTGGAAATGATGCCTGTGTAAACTTTCTTTTTGAATGCGTTCACTCTGTTTCTGATAGATGGATATTTGAATTTAGTTATATATTCATATATGGTCCACTCTCAACTTCAAGCTCTTAAGAAGACAAGGAAAAAATCAGGCGATCAACTTGATGATTTTTAAATTGGACCAATTGTAATGGAATAAGAAGAGCCTGATCTGATATAAGCTCATAACTCAGAGTCATGCTCCAAAGAGGTATTATCTGATCATGCCATAAATATTGATTAAATTCTTATGCAAACTGGAATTTTGAAAAAACCAGAGTTAGAGGGTACCAACTTAATTGAAAATGAAATGAATTTGTGGGATAAAGCTAACCCTGATGAAATTGAATAAGTATTGAATAGAATATAATAAAATGAGGGAGATAATGAAGACCCCGGAACACCTTCTCATTATGATTTTCGAAAGCAAAATAGCAATGTTCATCTAATTGGTTAAAGAAGAAATCAAAAACTTAATTTAGATGAATAGAGTAGCTTTGTTATCAATTATGAAATAAAAAAGAAAGAATTACCCAAACCAATTAGAAAAGGAAAGAAGGAAAAGAACGATTTACTTTAAATCAAGGGATAAGATAGTATATAAAATCAACTTAAATTAAATCAACCATATGATATTGGCTGCAAAGATAAAAGTGACTTACACATATTTAATTCTGCAGGTAGCTTTCAAAGAGGAGTAATCTAAACTATTACAAATTTGAGTAATCGCTTAACAGGCCACCACAAGAAGATCAGTGGGCTTATTAAACATGCTGACTCTACCGAAGACTAAAAATATTGAAATGGATTCATTGGAATTAGAAGCATGCTTCTAATTTTTGAATGAAATTTTTGAGAGGAAAAAGTCTGAATGGTCCTGAGATATATTATCTATAATTTCAAGGTCATGGTACCTCTCTTTTGAATATATTTTTATGACAATTGAATATAGTTAACATAGTTGTTAAATACATAAACAGCAGATGAGTATATTAAACATATTTAATTTTAAGTGGTTATTCCAGATTTCAATTTTAAAAAGCAAATGGGGTTTTGGGGTTTTGGGGTTTTGGGGAGATCGGAAGAGCACACGTCTGA